CTAAAGCCCCTTTCGTGATGGTAAATTGAGCTACCTTGACTGATGTTATCGCCATCACTTGATTTACTCCTTTCTAAATGAGATATCAATTTCTCTGACTTCTTCTCACTTGACTTATCATGGATGGATAGGAATAAACTTTCAGTTTGATCATGTAGACTTCCAGTGCCAACTCGGTCAATCTTGATATCCTTTGAGATGTTTGGTATACCAAAAGGTGAATACCTGTCAAGCTTTCTTCTATATTTTCTCTGAAATGTGATCCATAGTGACAGAAGGCACAGAATCCCAACAATGAACACACCAACAGAGATACCAATGACAACCCATAATTTTAAACCAAAAAAAGATGTCTTCTTTGATAATGCAGTGTTTAAATTCCCAGATGGCATTTTCAGCAAACTGGTGAGGGAAGGCAAATGCGACTAAGTTTGGAATCCAGACTCACACCATTGCTCTCTTGAAACCCTGAAAAGTAAACAATAGGTGGATTTAATGCTTCTACAGAGTCTTGCCATGCAATTAGAATTTTTTTCAAAGCTAAAAACTATGGCATACAGTTCATCAGTGGATCATACAAAATCTGGGGGAAATAGAGAGATAATTAGATGAGAGGAAGATTTCCACTGTTACAACTAAAAAGGCATAAACTTTAAGGCAGAAATAGAAATCATAATACACAAGTATAAAACTATGCAAATGTCTACACTTGTTCTGAGTCATTTTCAGCAAATTTTGGGAGAATATGATAAATGCAACCATGTCTAAAGTCAACATTCCAAACACAGGAGTAGGAAACTAAGTACTATCACAATTATGGATAGAAATTAGCACTAAACACAGTGAAGAACTTTCAACTGCTCAAAAACATGAAATCCCATTCAACTAAACTCAAGAAAATGACAGATTAATCAAAATACCTCAAATCCTCCCAAAAATTGACAACTAAAGAAAAGTGGGGGAAGTGAAAGATTTGCCAAATTAAATTCCAGGAGGCAAGAAAAAAAAGGGTATGACTTAACACCAAAGTAAATGACAGATAAAGAAAGAGGGTCGGATCTGATATAAAGTTCTTCACAGGAAAAAGAGAAAGAAACCTAATTCCCTCGATCTTCCTCCTTGAGAAGCCAAATGAGTAAAGCAAAACAAAAAAAATGCCTCTTTTTTTCCACCAAAGACTCAAAAAGCATAAGCTCCGTATATAGCCAATGCAGAGATGAAATGGGAAACGCAGTGAAGCCACAGAAGCCAAAGACAGAACTTCCGCAGCTTAAGCAAGAACAGGGGAATATGCGAATGTGACCCAGGAAACAATTGATTTGAGAAGGGAGAAGAAATCAGAGCTCTGAGGTCCCCAGACACAGCCGGACGACAATCGAATCGTTTTGCGGCACTCTGTTGAGAGAGAGAAGAGAGGAAAGTTTTTCGGGTTTGGTCGGGTATTTAGAAAAATACCCAGCAGCCATTGAAGAAAGGAATAAGTGCCAAGATTTAAATTTTTTTTTTTGATTTAATTTTCATGCCGAAGTGTGAATGAAAAGTTTGAATTCAATGTGGAAAATATACGGACTAATGGGCTATGCTACTCTTGGTCTCTTTTGAAATTTTAATTGTTTGATTTTTTTTTAACATCCGAAATTAAGTTCTGAGCAATAAAAAGAAGTAGAAACTATTATTGCAAACAATGTGTTTTCCTTTTTTTAAACTTTTATTTAAAAAAACATAAAATGAAATAACTAGTTTTATCTCTTCCCTCTCTGGACCTCAAGTCATAGAAGCTTTGAGACCCCATAAACAAAAGTTTACAATTGCTACCAACATAATCAGCTTTTATCAATTTTATTTTTTGATTTTTTCCCTGAACTCGTATCGGATTGAGAAGACTTCAATCGTTTTCAGGCTTCAAAAGTAAAAATGAGAACAAATAAATGATTGAGACGAGAGTGCAATCAGCAAATCGAGAGAAGACTAAAGAGAAGGTATTAGAGCTTGTAAGTGAAACTAAATCCCTAAGCCCACTCTTTCCACCCAAATTTGCTAAATCTACTTCTACTATTATTATAAATTTAATATTTGCTATCTAGAGTGTATATTTTGCAAATATTGGTGGAAAGAGTGGCCGGATTTAGGCATACCCTATTTTTTATTGATTGATATTCCTATAGGTTAAATATTTATATATAATAAATGTAGAAACTCTAACTTTAGTCTTGTTGTTTAATAAGAACATCAAGATAAAGAACCAAGAAGAAATACTTGAAGGGACTTATAAATTAGCTGACATATAAAATCCAGATTACATTAAATAATAACAATACTAGTACTAAATAAATAATACAGATAAACTAATAAATATATAATTAAATATCATACTCTATTGATGGTGTAAATATAGATGGGCGGGTTGACCGAATCTGACCTAGACACACTCGACCCGTAATATAAAACACACAACAAGAACACAAAGTATGACCTAGACCGGGTAAATCTTCTCAGTCCGAAATATATTTCTTATTCTGTCTCAAGAGTGTACTAGTTTTACCGAGATAAAGAATGGATCCCCTCCTCTATCAAATATCATCATATTTATAGAGGAGGATTTGTGACTTTTCTCTGTTCATCCATGGACAAAATAAGAAGCTCGCGGGAAGGTCACTGTAGTTAATGGGAACACTGTACAATCATTGATTTCAATAGCTACAAGCCAAGACATTGTTCAATCAAAGACTATAAATGGATATTCTCAATTCAATCAACCCTGCAAGGTGACAAATATTCCTTTCACTGTATGCCTCGTGATGGATGAGCGGCGGGGTGGTCCCTCGGTCTTTGACGTGGTTCACCATGCGTGCGAGTCTGGACCAATGTTTGCCAAGTAAGATGATATGACCGGTCACCTTTTCTCAAAGGTTAACTGGTCATTTATTGAGCTCAACCCGTCTCTTTGGTCTTCCGGAAGATCCTTCGTGATATAAGGTGATATTTTGGCTTTCGCCCAAAATGTGACCGGTCACTTTTTCAAGGAAAGTGACCGGTCAACTTTTGACCCGTCTCAATCGAAGAGTTAACCTCATTTGGTGATTGATGAAAGTGATCGGTCATATTTTGACCTGTCCCTTTCGGTTGTTCAGGCCGGGTATAGGGATATACCCATCATCTACCATCCATAGCACAAACATCAAAAGTGGAGTATACTTCGGTTCCATAATTTTCTTCCTCTCTGTTTTTCATGGTCTTCAATTCACTACTTTGACCATTAATATCTTTATTCATATATAATTTTGTATTATAAAAATATGATATTTTAAAAATTTATTTCAAAATGAATCTATTGACATTAAATTTATATCATAACTCAATATATTTTTTCCATGTTATTTGGTCAAAGTTAGAAATGTTTTTACCAAGAAAAAGCAATCCCGAAAATAATTCGGAAATGGAGGGAACATGTCTTATTTTCCATTCTCCTCTTTTTCCAAATTGGAAGCAAAGTTCCTTATTCACTTTAAATTTACAATTTATGTTATGTTACTTTTAAAAATTTTAAAAATATAAGTTTATAATGCTATGACTTTAAATTTCGTGAAAACTAATACTCCAGGGTAATTCAAATAATTGAATGCCAATTTGCTATTCTCTACTATAATTTATTTAGATTTCTGGCATGAACTGCTCAAGATAGTTAAATTTTGGTCTTTTCATCTCTTGATGATGAATGTTATAGGAGTATATGATATCTATTTTGGACTTCCCATCTCATTTTTCTTTTTTTTTTTTTTGAAAAAGAAAATTGGTAAATGTGAGAAATATGAAAACTCCCAAGTCATGTGGATAGAAGGTAATAAGGTGACCGAATCTGATTATCATGCATAGAGGGTAGGAGAGCCCATATTCCCATAGGGGCTAGTTTGGATGGAGCCATGGAGGCTTTGAAAGGGATAGGTTTTACTATTTTAGTGGTCACTCAGTAGGTTGTTCTCTTTAATTTATCTGAATCATTCAGATCTGATTTAATTAGGTTCAGACTTAAATTGATTGTATTTGTATTTAAAGTTATTTTTTACTTAATCTGCTTGTAATAAAAATAAGTAATAAGTAATAAGAATAAGTAGAAGAAAACAAGTACGTAACAAAGAATAAGAAGCAATTGTATTATTTTTATTGATTCAATTGCATCCAACACATGTGCAAAAATAGTATATACCACCCATAGATCCACACTAACAAATAAAATGGAAAATTAAATTATACGGAGTACAAATTAAATTCAATTGTGACTCAAAACTCTTCAAAAATATGGCTAAGAATTGTAGTATAAAATATGTGCACATCACCCTCGCCTTGATCTTTACTATATGGAGTATTAAATTTCACTTTCATTTAGTTCATAAGAAAATTTTAATATACAACTTTTTAATGATTTTTACTCTTTGATTTCATCATCTTATAGTTTTGAAATTTTGATTTTTAAAATTTTATTTTTTTAGTTTTGAATTATTTTAGCTTTTTTTACATACTCCCTCCGTCCACAAATAAAGTTCTCGTTCACTATTTACATGGTCAAACTTTATTCACTTTGTTAGTCTATTTTCGTCATCCATTTGATAAAATAATATAGTCATGTCACATGCATTTAGTTTTGTAGATCTTTTGATATAGTTTTTTTAATATGTAATTTTTATTTTTAAATTTTACATCATTTTTCATTTAAAATGATTTGAAAATAACTTCAATCAAACATCGTAACGCACAACTAGAAGTTTATTATATTTGTGGACGGAGGGAGTATATTATAGAACATCTTTCAAGAAAAATGATTAGTTTTCCTAACAACCAAGTCCAAAAGCTACCCTCTTTGGCTTTTCAGATTTTGACTTTTCAAATCAAAATGTCAAGTGAAAAAGCCATCAGCCAAACAATGATTTTAGTTGTTCGTTTAGTCAAGAAAGCCAAAATGAGTCAAAGATGCCAAAATCTATCCGAAAAGCTATTTTCCAAACAAACCATAGTAGTATTTCTTTAAGAATCTTACAACATACATATAACTGCAGATTAAGCAGCAGATCACATGATAGTGCAGAGAGGTACTGAAGGATCTGCTACTGCTATATACTCATCAGCCCTTCGCAGCGGATATGAGGACGACGCATATTGAGCTGGCGGTGGCCGATATCCCCCGTAACTGTTCACTTCTTGATTATAGCCATATCCCGAGAGTGCCCTAGGGCATGTTTGGTACCCATAGTATTCTAGGCAACGGAAAAATTACGAGTTCAAATTCAAGGCCGAGAAAAAAAAATTAGTACATTGATCTTAGATACATACTCCCACCGTCCCATAAAATCCTTCACGTTTCAAAAAAATTGTGTCCCTAAAAGTCCTTTTCATTTCGATTAAAAAAATCACTTTTACCCCCCAAACCCTACCTATCACATCATACATTTTCTTATAATAGTGCTTCTGGGGTCATGATTAATGGCATTGCAAGCATAACTGTTTCTGTTGGTGTAGTCACAGGTTTGGTTATTATAGTAAGGAGAGTAAGAGGAAGCATATGATGATAATGTCCCATAGGTTGTGTTGGTTCTGTTCATTCTTGGATCCCTTAGGGTGGCTCGGGCCAACTGAGCGTGTTTTCCGGAGTTTGACACCGCCCCTAACAAAGCATTTGGTTCCACTTCTCCCACCACTGTTGCCGTCCCTTTCTCACCATCAATCTCAACCGAATATACCCCTATATATCACAATTCACACACCAATATTTTTGTACACAATATAACTCGACAAAGTTAACAACTTAACACAGACACACACACACAACAATAAGTTTTACGCACAATATAAATCAGTTCATGACAACGATGATGAATGACGACCATGCGTAGTACGAGTATGAAACCCTTGTACGCAATACAGATCTCATTCTTTGGCGGTGTTTGGCACTGTGGTGAATTCTTTGAAAAACAAAAGTCATAATACCGAAGTCAAAAGCATTTAATCTTAACTTTACCCAAAAAAAGAAGTGATAATCTTGTTTGATTACTAGGAGTATAAATGTTCATGTTAATTTTTCCCCCCACCGAAATTAAAGGGACATGACAAAAAAAAAAGAAGAAGAAAGAAGAATCATCCAAATTAAAATCAAAATTAAACATAAATCAAAATAATAATTGTTACCCGAAATTGAAGAGAGCACTCTCATCAAACTCAATTTACATTCATCACAATGCACGTCCACTTTTAAAAGGCAAACCTAATCGATTAAAATTGATAATTTCATGAGTTAAATCAATTTAATATCCCATTAAAACAATAAAATCAATCTAAACAATCATAGGAAAAAAAAACATACCACTTCTGCAATCGGCTCCATCATATCTGCCTCCTCGATGAACTCAATAAATATTGTTTAATGATATAAATGCAAGAGAAAAAGTTCGAAGAAACAAAAGAGAAATTAAATACTAATAAATATTTCTTTCCATCTTTGAACATAAATATTTCCATGTTTTTCATTTCTTATAAAGGCAATCTTTTTTAAAAGTAAGTTCCACGCCAAATAACACTTTTCAATAAAAAACCCTCTTCATCTTCCTTTTCTAATTTATTCATCTAATTTAATTCTTTTGAGTCAAACCGAATGAATTTTAATCATCAAATACATTTTATTTCTATTGTATATTAATATAATGAAATCAAAAAATTGAAAATTTACAATAAAATAAATTTAATAAAGTCCTTTTTGTACTAGCATTCATTACAATTTTTAGGTAGTTAAAATCAAAGTTTGTTCAAGATTGACTTGAAAATATCAAATTAGACAAATATACGGGCACGAAGATAAAAATACTCTAAAAATTATTGTGGAACAAAACTTTCAACTCCTCTAGTAAGAAGAATTTGAAATTGATCCCATTGTGTTGAGATTAGCGGATTTAGGAATTCAAAGAGTTGGGGACATCGGTGCTCAACAAGGACAAGAATAATATCGGGGTCCAGAAGCAATGCCCCCGAATTTTTAAATAAGCAAATATGAAATAAATAAATTTTGATCAGACTTCAATAAGGAGGCAAGATAATATGGGTCAAGCCTATTAGGCAACTTTTAAAGTGAGATGACATTATATTCTCAAAATTTTTATTTACTCTCTAGATACTTGTGAATCTAATACCAATAAATGTCAATTCACAGAATAAAAGGTGAAACGCCCACCCTAGATGGCCCTACCCCTGTGCTGGTGGAAGAGTCAAATCACTAGATGTGACTTAGACAATCAAGGTCATATAGCTTTTCGACTAATTTCACTAACGAGAGAGCTAATTCTACATTGCTTGCACGCAAGCATTGGGTCTTTATCGCTAAGATATATCCCAAAGACAAACACCAATTTTCTATTCTCTAATAATGTTTTTTCCGATTTCTAATATATGAAATAAACCCCGTGGATAATGAACCGTACTACTATATGATTGGATAGGGACAATAGTTTCAATTTCATAAAGTGATGAAAGTATGAGAGGTTTTAGTGGTCGGTCTTTGTCTCTAAATGGATATATCTCCTTGGTTTACATGACATTGGAAATCAATGTCATGAGATGACTCGGGAGTGTTCCGATACTCCATTCGTAAAATTAACGGTTCCTACCCCTAGTAAACCCCCCACCCACCCCGACCCGAACACACCCCCACCCCCTTCAATTGCACCTATCAAGTTAATTTTAATTTTAGAGTCAAATTTTGACTTTAAAGTCAAAATTAACTTGAGAGGTGCAATTGAAGGGGGGGCCCGCGTTCGGGTCGGGGTGGGGGGTTTACCCGGGAATTAGGTGGGTATGAACCGTCAATTTTACGAACGGGGCAGTGGAGCACCCCGGGGATTCATGACCTTCTCATGACATTGATTCCGAATCAATGTCATGAGAACCGGCCCCATGGATAAATAGTTCTCAAAAGTATTTTAATAAAACTACGGAGTAGCAAGGAACAAGGAGCAGTTAAATTATTTATGCAATATTTTATAAAATCTTGAACACATAATCGTATCAAAATATGTTGATCTCATGAAATTTAGTGTCACACATAATTGACCAACAGATAAAGTAAAACAAAATCACATTCTCATCCTCCAAAAAGTGTCTGAGATGCCGCAACGCCACCCCTAATAGTTTCTAGGCACACCGAAAAGGGCAAAACAGTCATTCACCGCACAGTGCAGGAACATTTCCAAGCGATTTCAGCACTTCTTCGCCCATTTCGCTGCAACCGACTAATTTCTGCAACAAAAGGCGCCCGCCTCAATCACGAATGCCACATGGAAATTATGGCTAACCAAAGAGACGAAAACATAGAGGCTATTTCTTTAGACCCTAGATGCATAAAACTTCATAGAAAGTAAAGGGAGGGAAGTTCAATGTGTCATTTAGATTTAGCTAATTATGTGCTCCTAACTAAAAAAAACACTGAATAATGACATTTTTGACACTTAAAAGAACAATAAAAGGCATGCAATGAATACATACATCATCTCCAGCAGAGTATATGTCTCCGGTGCGAAATCCCCTATTCAAAGTGTCCAAAACAGCTGCCTCAATCCTCAGAGCAGCCGTCTCCTCCCCTAATCCGTACTTGAGAAGCATAGCAGCACTAAGCACTGTTGCTAAAGGATTTGCTTTATCCTACACGTCGAAAGCCAAGAAATGCGATAAGAAACTCTTCTTCATAGTGGATGTGATGTAATTGGAGTATTACTACTCATTATGGAACCAAACAACCAACCTGTCCAGCAATATCAGGAGCAGACCCATGTATTGGCTCAAATAATCCGGGTCCCTACTTCCAAAAGAGATGATCAAATGCACAATTAGTAATAATACTACATAATACGGAGTAAATAATAATAGTAATAATACACTATAGTTTTGACGCCAGTTTTGGGTGTCATATTATGGCACAGGAATTCTATCGTGCTACTTTGGCCCCGAAGCCCCCCCCCCCCCCCGGAATCGCCAAAGTGCCTTTCCAAAGGAGTTGGGAGGGGGGGGGGGTTGTGGGAGTTAGGGATAGTAGGACCCACTTCGAGGCTCAAAGGAATGCTGTAGGGCCCTCAAATGGTCTGATATTTTGACACCCAATGGGTATAGCAAAACAACCTTGCCTATGATGGTAGTAATAGCAAATATAGACTTTGTAAAGGGAAATGCATAAAAGGTGGTAATACCGATTCTCCAACACTGGCAGATGGAAGCATACCAATACTTCCAGTAATCATTGAAGCTTCATCGGATAGAATATCACCAAATATATTGTTTGTTACAATTGTATCAAACTGCAATGAAGTACATGCAAATATAATCTCTTTTTGTTTTCACAATCATCTCATAGAAAATGTCAGTCAAGATTAATATCAAACCTTCGTAAAGTTTTAAAAAGAAACAACCCAATGAACCAACCTGCTTTGGATTGCGAACGAGCTGCATTGCGGCATTGTCCACATACATGTGTGAAAGTTCAACTTCGGGATACTCTTTGGACAATTCTGTCACAGTTCTTCTCCAAAGCATAGAGGACTGGAAAATATCAATGGTGAGGCACATCTATTTTCATATTTTGCACTCAATCTCCACTTTTGGTGGACAACTATGAATTCCTTGCCCAATTTCTAACATTTACTTTCCCATTTAGGCCCCGTTCCGTTCAACTTATTTTTTCTTATTTTTTCTTATTCTTATTAAAATCAGATCAAATCAGATCAGACCAGATCAGATCAAATCAGATCAGATCCAATTAGATCAGATCAGATCTAATCAGACCAGATCCCATCAAGAATTATTATTATTATTATTATTATTATTATTATTATCATTATCATTATCTTTATTATTATTATTATTATTATCATCATCATCATTATTATTATTCTAAAAAATGAAAAAGAATATACTTTAGAAACAAGTTAAATAGAAAACCGAGAAAGTAATCCTTAATTATTAGACGTCAGAAAAATTATTTTTAAAATACATTGACAATGTCAATCTAATTCTACTTTTAAAATACATTTTTATTGCTACTTGTAATTTGAGTTTCTAAAGTTTTGATCTTTTATAAGGATGAGATATTTTAATAAAAATACTATCTCTTCTATATATTGATAATCTAAATTTAATTACTTTTTAATGTATATATAAATTAAATTTCCATTCTAATGTATATATGAAGTAATTATTAAAATATTAAATTAATATTCTAATTTCAAAAAAAATATCATAAAATAAAAAATATTATTACATTATAATATGAATGATTATTCTAATATATGAATTAACTAATTTTATTTTATTAAAAAGTAATCATAAAATAAAAAATATTGATTATATTATAATATGAATTATCATTACAATTTTCAAACGTTATTATAAGGTCAAATAAAATTATTGATTTGAATTTTAAATCAAATCATAATTAATTAGATCAGATCAGACCAGACCAGACCAGACCAGATCAGATCCAATCAGATCAGATCAGATCAGATCAGACTAGATCAGATCAGATCAGATCAGACCAGATCAAATCAGATCAGAACTTATTAAAATCAGATCAGAACAGAAAAAATAAGTTGAACGGAACGGGGCCTTAGTCCTAACATTTGCTGGCCAAATTCTGCTCAATTTCTGTTTGAATTTAGTCTGATAAATGACTATGAAGGACCAAAAGTGGCAATAAATCAACCGTAGTGTACTAAAAGTGAGGAAAATGAAAGTCAGGAATCAAAAGTAGGAAGAAAGTATAGTCATGAGACCAAAAGTGAAAATTTTCAGCGAGTCCTATACCATGATTACGACATTACGTGCACATTTCAAGGAGAGAACTTTTCATTAACAAAGTATAATGTTTGTTTCAAATAGAAAAGAATCAGAAACGTGAAAAGAGAGTCACACATGAGAAAGAAAAACTAATATATTAGCCAGTAACAAATGTCGTTATATACCTCCAACACATTCGCTTTATCAACTGAACAGAGTTTTCCTCGACGTTTTTTTGCAGTTTCAAACGCCACACGAGCAATGCGTTCTATCTGGAAAGAGAATCTTATGTCAAAATTCTAAAGGATGCAGATAAACATGGTCCAATAGGAAATATGATGCCAAAGGTGTGTATAAAAGAACTGTCAATTGCAAAAAGAGTATGTTTCAATCTATTGTCAATCGGATTAAAGAAATTTAAATCCTATTACTGAAGCCACTTTAGTATTTTACCTCATGAGTTGCATACACCTCAGTATTGAAACCAATTTCATGACCATATTCATTTGTGCCAAAACCCCTTGGTTTGCCAAAATAAATACCTGATGCCAGATCATTATAATCAGGGCAAATGGAAGCACGTGCATTTGGAAAATAAATAAATGTAAATAACATAATAAAACTGCAATAACTAAATCCAAATGATGGTTTCAGCCTACAGGTATAAGTGAATCACTTCAGACCATCTAAACTGACCTCCAGTAAGTTCCCTTACAACCATTAAGTCTACACCTTCGGCAACCTCTCTCTTCAATGTTGAAGCATCTACCAACTGAATCACATAGGTATAACATTCAGATTATAATGTTTTTTTGAACTATAACCTTAATTTCACCTCTCCCCCCCCCCCAAAGGCGGTGTGTTTACTTTTGCTTTTGCATGACATTAACTTTAATCTCCCTAACCTACAAGATAAGGAAGACTTAACCCAATAACCCCTAAAACTTGCAAGATACCCTTACATTTTTCTATGTTGATTGAATTGACAGTAACACAATCCATTTGTGAAATAGTCATGCGTGTAATATTTGTTCATATATTTTAGTTTTTCTATCGAGCTAAGAGATTCAGACAATCATTGACCGCGGTTAAGTGGGTTACTAATTCTCAGTTTTGTGCTAATAGAGATAGAGCTACAAAGTAAACCACTCATATGTGAAGCCTATTATGATTTTTATCCCAATGAGAACTACGGAGGTCATCAATGTGCTCAGCAAATTCAAAACAAGCAATTCTACAAAAATAAATGGAAAAAAAAGTAATACAACTATAATTTTTAAAAAGTCTTGAACCACCATCGCTGGTAACAGATCTAACCACAAACTTTTTTTTGTCTTGTGGTGATTTGGACAGATCTAACCCAGATTTTGTTTTGTCTTATGGTAATTTCTGCCATAGTTCCAAAAGGATAAAAAGGAAAACAACCATCATGGTACATTGCAATAGAATAAGAGTAGAACCATCAATGACTTCAATAATCACTTCACTCAAATCCGGACAAAATTACCTGTGGCAATACTGATGCTGGTCTCAGGTTTGCAAATACCTTAAGACCCTCTCGGAGCTGAAGCAATCCAGTTTCTGGCTTCAAATGCTTTTCGTTGGTGTCCCACTTATACCTTTATCAGAGATGTGACATGCAAAGAGCCAATGAATCAAACAGGAAATATCATATAGATATTTGACTCATAAATCTATACATAAATGATATTGCAAGGCCACAATGCAAATCATGGAACATGGCCAACCACATAAAACTGTATAGCATTTGTACATTTCTCACCCTCCTATAGCTCCGAGAAGAACGGCATCAGATTCCTTTGCAGCTGTAAGAGTCTCCTCAGTCAATGGCACTCCCGTCATGTCAATAGATGCCCCACCCATAGGCATCTCTTTGAACTCGAACTCAATTCCTACAAAAATTTTAAGCTCAAAACAACTATTCAACCCTAAATCTCATGACTATTAAGAAACCCAAAACACCTAGATTTTTGTTGTTCAGGAAAAATGGAAAATTTTCACTGTAGAGATCTAGCTAATTTAATCTTTGAGTATTAATTTATTCACTGTTTTGAAAACTTATGTGCATTACGTATGGTACATTGGTACGTGTATGCATTTAGGAATTTTTGCACCAATGACCAATTTAAGTGCACAAGTGGATTACTTGAAATTAGGAGCGACATGGAGAACCAGTGCTGTCTATTTGTAGTGTTTTTGTTATATGTCAAAATTCAAAAGGATGTACTGTATGGTATACCTTCCAGAGAGCCAACGAGATGTAGAGCATTCTTTGCAACAGAAATGACTTCAGGGCCAATGCCATCACCAGGAAGGAGAGTGATGGAGTAGCGTTTGATTGGTGTAGCGACAGAGCAGTGAATGGTGGCAAATCTAGAAGGGCGTGTGTGGGGAATGTTGGAATGTAATTTGTGGGACCCCATAGGTATCTTTGCACAAGAATTGAACAAAGCCATCATTATTGAGACTCTGCTCAGTTTCACAAAGTAAGCAGATTTTGGTCCCTGAATGTATCTGTAGTAAAAGTGAATGACACCAAACAAATAAATGTACTACAATGAAGATGTGTGTATAGTATAGGTACTTGTATGTGCTGACTTGTCCCAAAATTCTAAATTACTGAACTTGCAAGACGACCTCAATCAATATGAAAATATTTATATTCTTCTTTTGCCAATGGTAAACCTCATAGCAACATTTATATAGTCTCTTGCACAAAGTTCGCTCTGTAGCAACACCATTACATTCGGAGTATATCTGTATTAGTTTTTTTAACTTGAACCGTAAGCACTTCTTTTTTAACTTACAATCATCTTAAAAAGGACCTGACTCTAAATATAAATCATAAAACTAAGAGTGAACCTAAGTAATACACAGTACCAAACACAATAACTTTTTTCTTTAAAAAGGTCAAGATAGCACTGAAACAATTAGTCCCACTGTCCCACAATGAGAGTCTTGTTTCCAGACATATTTTGTGTCTTAAAAACCGTCATATTTGAAGAACAAAACTAAATTTTATAATACCTAGTGGTTCTAATTTTTTTTTAAAGTATCCCAAAAATGTTAAGTATTTTAAATTTCATTAAACCAACTTACCCGACAGACTAATTTAAAAATAGAACTCCATTTGGTTATATTCATGACTTGTACTCTTCTGAAATTTAAAAATTATCATACGCAAAGAAAAATTATTTTTAGGTGAGGGAGAAAGCACAATAAGAAATCGAAGAAGTATTGTATAAGCATAGTTGTTTAAGGCGCGATGCGCACTGATCCACAAAGGGTCCCAAGCGCCTCGATGCGTGATGCGAAATTAATGCGCGCACATCGTGAACATGAGTCGCAAATTGAAGCACAAGTAGCATAGAATCTCTAAATTACCTACAATTCCTATAAAATTTATAGCATCTCTAAATTAGCAACAATTCTAATAAAATTTCGAAAGACATAATAAGATTTTAGAGAATAAGTAGGAATCAATGTCACACATAGTACGATTGACATATAAAAAACAAAAGTTCAAGAACAAAAATAGTTTATGGCAAAAACAAAAACATGTCATAAACAAGATGTTCTTTCCCACCATAAATTCCTCTTTTATGGATGAAACAAAAGTATAGAACTGCACGAAAGAAAACATGGAAATCTAGCGACTTAAATAGCTGAACCAGACTGAAAAAACAAAAAATCTGAGAAGCTACTTGTGCCGGGAGAAGAAAAAAAGAACCCTCAGCAATTAAAAAAACTAAGATTGATTCTCAACTATGTGTATAAGAAATCAAGAAGAGACACAAAAACAACACACACACACACACACAGAACTTACCGAGTAGCTTATCCTTAACTGATGCGTCCTTGAATCTCTCAAAATTAAGTTCCACACAACAACAACAACTCGCGTACACAGCCACCTAGGATGAGAGCAAGTCAGTTTCGTTTTTTAGCGGGGTGGAACCAGGAAGGAAGGGTAAGCTGAGCCCGATTAGCGTTTACAGGGCGTTAAATCTTTTCAGGGTCAGTATGTCATTTTATCAAACACTTGTTGAGAATACAAAAATAAACAATCATAGTCTATGGTTTAAGAATGACAAACTTCTTAATGGCGGGGTGAAAACAGCTCATGCTAGGGAATACTTCTACGGTCCCTATGGTGGGTGTGTTGTATCACAAACATGCTTAATGTGATTTGATTTTCTGTTCTTTTTCTTTAATGGGTCGAATCTGCAAAAAAATTCAGTAGTACCTGGGTAGCCGTTGTTGTGGGAGATTGTAAAAAAAGATGAACTCTGTCTCTGTCAAACAGTCCGGAAATGGTCTTCAGCAAGGAACCAACAATCTCTATGCTTTTCCTACAAGCACTCTACTACGAACAAGAAAACTGTGACCGTAGTGAGCAAAAAACAAACGACTGTAATCCGTACCTATTTCAAATGGGATAGGATCTGACCGTCCCTGAAAAGGTTAGGACTGTTTCTCAATAACTCTTACTTACTCCGTCCCTGAAAATCTTTTTTCTTTTTTTTCATCCGTTCCAAAAAATTAGCCTTATTTCTATTAAAAAGTCACGTTTACCCCTTTTAATTCTTAATCTACCTATCACATCACATCTATTCATTAATAATCTACCCAGGGCCAGTCCTGAGAATTCAATGGCCTGCGCCGATATGGAAAAAATGGCCCTAAAAACCTTATGCCTAATGACCTAATAAATTAAAATATTCAAACTAATTATATTTAAATGAAAATTAACGTAATAATATTATAAAAATTCTAATAATTATTAAAAACAATACAAATTTTAAATTAAGACTAAATTTGAAATAGTGTAACAATAAATCTAAAAAAATAATTTTTTCATATCAAATGAAGAACACATTAAAATATCATTCATAGCAAAGATTATTAATTAACAACATAACAATTAACAATTAATCCTAGATTTACCTAACAAAATAATAATTCAATGAAAAATGTATACGACTTAACAAAATAATAATTAAACCTAGATTCAATTTTAATTTACTCCAAGAATAAAGAATGGATATGAATAGAAAATGAAGAATGGATATGAATTATATTATGAATACCTCAAAACTAAACTCCTAATCTTTTTGAATACTCTAAAGAAATCAAGAATCCATTACTAAAATGAAATTTCTAAAAAGTTATTGATTTCCAACTATGAAATTAGAAATGATTTACGCTATAAAACAACTACAAGTCAAACTTTAAATATACTCATCAAATATGCAGTATATCAAAACAAAGTATGCAAAACAGACCAAATGCATAGAAAAATAAATGCAAAATAAATCATATATTTCAGATTCAAACTTAAGGATAAAGACTACCTCTTGGGATGCTAGTTTGGGCGAAATATGGACTTAAGGTCTGGAATCGAATTGCAGACGTCGGTGGGGCACTAGGGCCGCCACTGCTCTCTGGGTGGTGGTCGTCGGTCGTCTGTCTAGAGCTCTAGAAGCTGGACGGCTGGTGTTAATCTGGACCGTACCTGGCTGGAGTGTTGGCCGTGAGGGTGGGTGGCGAGATAAAACGCGGAATGCTGGAGTTACACTCTTGGATTGGAGTACTAGTTTGGGGCTTTGGGTTTGGGGTAGTGAGTGTGGTACATTATGGTATTGTACTGATACTCTACAAAATTTTTCGATTCAGTGTGAGATTTTACATTGTACCGATTCCGAAGCATCGGTTTGGTATGGTTCGGTATTGGTTTTGGTACGAATCGAGATGAATATATACGCACCTAGTTTACATCATACTGTAAAATCTAACAAAACTTTTTATTTTTAAAAAATTGAAAGTACATCTAACCAAAGAAAGATAAAAAATTTAAAAATGAAAAAATTAAATACAAGAAATGCTTATGAAACTTAGTTTATATTTTAAAAACTAAAGAGAACAAGTGATAACAAAGTATTATTTCAAATTTTTGTTAATATTCTTATACTCATCTACAAAAAAAAACTCTTATTAAAGTGAAACTTAAATATAATGAAAATAAACTAAATTGTCTATATAAATTTTTTATTTAATGAAGAAAAATTAAAAGATTATTGTTTTTATAATATATTAGTATATATGTTTGGTTCAGGAATTTCGGTATGGGAAGTAACCTCGTACCGTTCCCAAATACCGGACCGACCGTTCGGTTCGGTTTCTTTTCGTTACTTTATCAATTAGACATTTTTCGGTTCGGTATTCTCGGCTTTTTCGGGAAATATCGAGATCGGTTCGGTCCTTGCTCACCCCTAGGTTTACATATGTATTCTCCTTAAATAATACTAAAAAATATTTGGGCCCCATAAATCATGGGCCCGGTCCGGCCCTTATGGCCTAGCCCTGAATCTACCTATCAAATCATACATTTACCCATCACATTCAAAAACATTTTTGGAAACTTAACACCAAAATACACTTATCTTAAATCCCTTAAAAAATACAATCACTTTGCATGTTTTCATTGATTATTTGATAAAATAAAATATTCTTGTCACCTTCTATTTTATAAAGTTTTTATGTACTCCGTAGTTTTTATAACATTTTAATTTTTTATTTATTTACCAATTTGTATATAAAATCATTTTAAACATCACGAAATTTTACACGTTAATCAAAGAAAGGAAATTCTTTTAGTGACGAAGGGAGGATTTATTTGGGGGAGTTCCCATGACCTGCGAACAATACTACGATGTTCGTGCATTAAATTGATTACTTTTACGCCATAATTCCTCCGTTAATCCTCTCACCCCACTCCAACCCGAACTCACCCTTCGTTCAGTTGCACCATCCAAGTTTATTTGATTTTGAAATCAAAATTTTGACTCCAAGATCAAATAAACTTGGGGTGCAATTAAAGACACCCTCCAAAAAATTATAAAAGATTCTCACAATTGAGGAAAGATTTCTCCATTGTACCCTGGCCAAGATAATCTGACGATCAAGAAAGAGAGTATTACCCAGATCCAAGAAGAAAATCTTCAGTCAAACAGAGCAGCTAATAATAAAACAAATTAGCATTCGATCTATATAACTAAAGATGTGCCTCCCCGCTTCTGATTTTTACTCTAGTCCTGATTCCACTTGAAGTTTACGTTCTACCTTTCACCCTTCACGGCATTTCCCGTTCGTTCATAGTGCCCATGCTTCTTATTACTTCCGCTAGACTAAGTTTGAGATGACATTAGACACTAATAATACCAGTACTCTGTATTAATTATAGTAATAGTTATTTATCAGTGATCTTTTATTATTGTATTGGTTTCTACTTATGTAAGAAGTCCAAAGAGTGTATAATTTATAGCATAAAATAGGTTTCTTAATTTCTATCGAAGTATTTAAAATAGGTTTCCTAATTTCTATATTTTTGAAAAATCGAAGGCTTGAGATTGGATGAAGAGGAAGAAGAAGAAGATAGAGTGAAGGATAGAGGGAGATGAAAGTTGAAGAAGATGAAGCGGAGAAGATAAGCACCAGTTCCTGCGGCGGAAGATCAGAAGAAAATCCCTGTTTGTGAATAGCCGCGTTCGCGTTTTGAAAAGGCTATCTACAGGTAGCGTTTAGCGTTTTCAAAGTAATCTCCACCGTTAAAATTTTATCCAAAACGCTAACGCTAATCTCTAACGCTATTCCCAAACATGCCCTAAGAGAGTGGGCAAAATTCCAGCACTTTTGATTGGATTTGGAATTTGGATTTCTATGGGGGTGTTTGGGAGTGTGGTGAGTTATGTATAAGTAGAAGTCATAATTTAGAAGCAGAAAGCATGTATTTGTAGCTTTGCTAGAAAGTACTTCTAGACCTTAATTTTAACTTCTAAAGCCATAATTTATAAGCTAACACAGATTAGCAAACATTTAAAATTGTGTTTTAGTAAAGTAAAAGCTATAAGTTATTATTTTCAAATGCAATCTCAAACACCCTCTATTTATACCACGTAAGAATCTATCAAAATCCACATTTTTTAAAATCTTTAAAAATCTATCAATTTTGAATACCATCATATTTAGAAAGATTTTTTAAAGTCTGAATTGAATACACCCATATTTTAAATGACTTTTTAAATTCTGAATTGAATACCTACGGAATTTCAGAATCCAAAAAAATCTATCAAAATCCGGATTGAATACACTTTTAATTTATGACTCTGTCTTGAATAATTTATCTGATTTTACAGATCTCTTCAATTCTTTAGGGAATCTAGACTGGGTCAAATATTATTTGCCATCAATAGTCATATAAGCACTTATATTGATTCCCTCCGTCCCAATTTATAGTGTCTGTTTCGGTTTATAATGTTTGACTGAAATTAGTTTTAAATCATTTTATATGACAAATGATATAAAGTTAAAAAATAAAAATTACATATTAAAATACTACATCAAAAAATTTACAAAACTAGTAGTGACAATAATACTTTATTTTATCAAATTGCTAACGAAAATAGAGAACGAAAGTGAATGAAGTTTGACCCTGTGAATAGTAAACAAACATTATAATTTGAAACGAAAGAAGTAGAACTTTTGGCTTACAGATCGGAGTAATTTTTAAACATATAGATTTTTTTTTCATTTCACCATAATTGTTCAATAAATTGAAGGAAACATTACTTCAACTAAACATCCTAAAGTAAAACATGCGATAGGTAAATGGGACAAAGGAAGTAGATGTATAAAACGCTACGTAAAATAGAATATACATTACCACTTTTTACACTTGGTGTTGGAGATGCTCTATGAGAAAGCACATTAAGTTTTTCGACACTTGCTTTTGTCATCTCAACAAATATTATGATTAAAAATTAGTAATGTACACTCACTCAGGTTATATTCTCATCAACTTATTCTTATTGAAATCAAATCAAATCAGAAACAACTTTAAATATTACTACTATCACATCAAATCAAACCAAAATAAATCAAAACGTATTCCAATTAAATCATAAGAAATCACACCAAGTGAAGAGAACATGGCCTAAGGGCATATATGATGATGAAGACTCAAAATATCATCATCCATGGCACCATCAAAATTCTCAACAAAAACAAACTAGAGAACTAGACTAATCAAAGCAGTTAATTTACGGTCAAGAGATTCATATAAGGGAAATACAAAATTATTACTCCGTATTAAAGTCATCATCCCTCCAGGCATCTTAAATTCCTAACTGTTGAGCACAAAGCTAATTAAAATCACTTTAGGCCAGACCTCCAAATTAATGTTGAAGAAACACCTTTCTTTTTGGTAAAATCTTCTAGCTTGAACAGATCATTCCCCTGATAGACTCCAACCTTACTCATGGCTTCTCTCCCTTCTCTGGCAGCTTCTTCTCTCAGCTGAGAAAGTAAACTGCCTCTCATGGAATCTGCATTATTGCTTCCATGAGTTTTATCGTTACCTGTTTCAAACTCAGATTTGTCTATGGCATCTACTAACGGTTGCTTTCTTTCTTTGGAACCGTCTTCTTCTTCCTCTTTATTATACCCACCACCATCACAGCTTTTGCTTCCCCACCATTTATAAGAGACTACTGACAATCCGGCATTTGATGGAAACCCGTACTTAAACTCATCTGAACCTGCAGTTGTCATCACTTTCGGCAAGTTTCTCGTAATCGTGATTTGTACAAGACAAATGAGATTAAGTGTCCGTTTGGCAACAACTTCAATGATTTGAAATGCTATCTAACGGCAACGTTTAGCCATCTACACCATTAAAACATAACCCAAAATGCTAACGTTAACTGAAAAGCTTGTTACCAAATGAGGCTTAAAAGGAAGAGATTACGAGGACTCACATGACAATTCGATTCCCTATTTCAATGTTGACAACACCAGTTAAAAGATAAGTTTTGCCTAAAATGGCTAGAATATTTCCTCTTATATTTGTCTCTGACTAATCACTAAGGTTCATGTTCTTTTTTTTAGGAGAGAACTATTCGGTTTGCACTTCGTATTATATATTTTTACCTCCAAATAAATATCAACTACAAAATGTGCCTATAGCGTTAGAGATTAGCGTTAGCGTTTTGGATAAAATGTTAACAGTGCAGATTACTTTGAAAACGATAACGCTAAATGCTGTCCGTAGATACCCTTTTCAAAATGCTAACGCTAATCTAACGCTATTCCCAAACAGGCACAATATCAATGTTCTTGAGACGCGTGTCAAGTCAACCTACGAACCCTATGTTGGAACCAAGTACCGGAGATGGGAACTGTCCACCAAAAAGATTAAAATTTGAATTGTAAACAACTTGCATAGTTGAATTTGCTGAAATGGGGTCAGTCTTTTTGCTGTCTCTGTTCTTATTTCGTCAACACTATTTGCAGAAAGAAACTGAAACCACACACAAAAGTGATAAATTGGTACTCCACATTGCAAGATTCAATCTGAGTTGTTAAAGATCCAAATCTGGTATGAATCACTGAATAGTGGATCTGGTCTTATTCCTGCCGACAAGTTTGATCTAATCTGGCATGAATCAGAGATAAGGGAAAAACAACAAGGTGGGCCTAGGGTTCATACCTTTCTATGGCCATCTCACGACGCCATTCTCGTAGCACACTTTCTTCAGCACAAACACACACCTGGAAAATACGAGTCAATCAGCTCATTTTAAATACTCTAGGTTGTGTACAGAAACCAAACAACAAGTCACGAACGAATATGAAGAACTAGCAAACACGGGGAATCAAACCAGTTGAGACTTGAGAGCATCCCGTAAAAGGATTTGCAGGATTTTAGTTTTTATTGAAATAAAAATGCTAGGGGTAAGCCAAAAATATACCGTACATAACCTACTCCATTACCACATATTTTGACATGTAAAATAAAAAAGAAATATATAAATAAAATGAGTGGTAACAGAAGGGGTGGTGTACATTTAGGATACATCATAGTGTATCTCTAACATCCATCTTCTTGAAAATATTAGAAGTAGGGAGTATGTTGTTTTTTTTGAAAACCAAATACCCCATCTGTCTCGAAATGTTCTTCTCAAGTTTGTCATAATTATATTTCCAGTGATAATCTGCATTTTAATATTAGAAAATTTGTCTTCAGTTTTTGTTTGCTGGAATGGAAATTTGTGAATTAGTGATATCTTTTTGAGAATTTGTTCTATTATATTTAGTGAATTATTAACACGTAGAGTGAGAAGCTTTTAAGTATGCTCTCGAAGAAAAATGTATTTTAAGTATGTACCTATTAAGATTTTAATAGGTTTACAATGATCTGAATCCCTTTTTAATCTTCAATTGATTTGAAACACAATGATTTTCCTCAAGCGAGTAACATTACCATCATAGTGGGAATAAGTAAGCAATATATTATATATTGAGAATAAGTAATATTTTAAATATTTTTCCAATGAAATTGAAATTTGGTATGACAGTACTGCCTTATAATAAAGTCCAATTTCTATTTTAAACATAGAGTTTGTCTTATTTGTATATTAATGAAACAAAATACGGAGTATATCACAAAGTTTTGAGAAACCAATGAATTTTGATGACTTCTTGCTTGGCAAAACTTATCTTTTTAGAGTTGAGGTGAGAATGATGTTTCGAAGTCACCATGAACAGTCTTTTAAAGAGTCAAAGATATATATATATATATATATATATATATATATATATCCTAATATTTACCGAAACCGAACCATAACGAATCAAAACGAACTAATACTTTAGAGCTGGGATCAATACGACGTAAAATCTCATATCGAATTGAAATACTTGATACTGTACCGGTACGAACAAAAAAATAAAAGAAGTGCATGGAATTCATTTTGATTTTTGAATAATGAGAAAATGAAAAGAAAGTTATGATTTGAAAAGAAAGAGGATAAATTGAGAGAGACGATAGTGATAACTTGAAGAAGTTAGACACGTATTGAATTTATCGATTAAATAATTGAAAGAAGGGTGGGGGTCGACCGGCACTATTTTTTGCACCGGAGACGAAACCGCGGCTCCTAGCATGTAATGGGCGTGCGCTGCGCCCATCCAAATTGGAGCGGCGGATTGGATCCAGGTGCCGTTGTAAGAGCACGAGCAGCGGCGAGTTTACATCATACTTTTACTTGTTTATCGTGGAATGGAATGAGCATTCCACCATGATTAGCGTGGCTTGTGCGAGGGCAGCGAGGTATATTTGTTCCTTTTCTTTTTGTTTTTTTTTGAAGAAAGACCGTAGGTCTAGACTATTGATAAAAGAATACGGAGTATCAAAATGGCAAAAAAAAACTTGCATGCGCCATGCCACTCAAGACTGTGCTTTTGTTTTAAAAATAAAATATATTTTTTTAAGGTATTTAAATTAATAAAATTGATAATACTTCAAAAATATATGCAGATAACAATGTTTTTTAATTTTTTTAATAAGGAAAAAGATGATTTTTTTAATAAAGAAAAAGAATACTCTTTCAATGTAAAGGTTATAGAAGTATTTTTATGACCAAATAAATAATTACAAAATAAATTTTATAATTATAATGCCTACAAACATATAATAAGTGACAAAAATAATGACTTGTCACTGCAGAACGTGTCATTCCACCCATTTGCCGCACAATGACTAGATTAGTTTTTATTGATTAAAATTTTCTATGTGAACATGTGACATTCCATTTTTACTCACCATGCTCTAAATGCCCTAAATGCCCCTAAAAGGAGTTTTAATATTTTATTTACATTTCACATGCCTTCTTCCTTTCTTCATTTCTCTTTAACGTCACAGCCATGGCTAACCTGCTAGCCTCCGACCCAATCTTTTCCGCATTCCTGTCGCCGGATTTTGATTCGGCCCGCTTCTCCTCCGCCGCTCTCTCCTCCGGATCTGCGGCATCTCGCATCGAGAAGCTGCAGGAAGGCCTCCGCTTCCTCGACAACCAGCTCCGCCATGAAGTCCTCTCCCGCCACGAGGATCTCCTCAACCAGCTCTCCTCCATCCGCGCCGCCGACTCCGCCCTCTCCTCCCTCCGATCCTCCGTCTCCTCCCTCCAATCTTCTCTACAGCGAGTCCGGTCTGAGCTCTCCGATCCACATCGCGTCATTGCAGCCAAAACTGTCCAGCTCTCCAACCTCCACTCAACCACCGAGCTTCTCCAGTCCACAATTCGCTTCCTCCGTCTCTCGAAGAAGCTGCGCGATCTCATGGATTCCACCCCAGATCACGAGAAGCTCGATCTATCAAAAGCCGCCCAGTTCCATTTTGAGATACTCTCGCTCCACAACGAGTACCATTTGTCCGGGATCGACGTAGTGGACGCGGAGCTGAAATGGGTAACTGAAATCGGGCAGAAATTGAGAAGCGAAGGAATGCGTGTGCTGGAGAAAGGGCTGGAGGATCTGAACCAGGCAGATGTAGGGGCTGGCCTGCAAGTGTTTTACAACATGGGGGAACTGAGAGGGACTGTGGATGGACTGGTTAGCAAGTACAAGGGGTTAGGTGTGAAGAGTATAAACACATCATTGGATATGAAGGCAGTGTCTGCAGGTGGTGGCTATGGACCGGGTGGTGTACAGAGGAGCGGGACCCCCCAGCTTGGGGGAAGCGCAAAGGCAAAGGAAGCTCTGTGGCAAAGGATGAGTTCTTGTATGGATCAGTTGCATTCCATTGTTGTTGCAATCTGGCATTTACAGAGGGTGTTGTCCAAGAAAAGAGATCCCTTCACTCATGTTCTGCTTCTTGAGGAGGTCATGCAGGTGAGTGAGGACTCAAGCTTCTTGTTCTTGTTTGTTCCCCTCAAGTTTCCCATTTCTGTTTGGTCCAATTCCTCAACAAAAAAGAAAAACCAAATAGATGAAAGTGAGTTTGGCTCATTCTTTAAGACTGTTATGTGCATATCTTAAGGTTCAGCTTAAGATAGTTCCCAATTGTGTGTAATATGCTGATGTTTGAGTAAGAAAATCCTTAGTTTGAAGAGTATTTTGTGACCATTTCTTTCTTCCTTTACCTTTATATCTCCTCACAATTTCACTATATTTCGATGAAATTCCCATGGAGGTGTGCCCTTAAGTTTGGTATTCATAAAATGATGCATTTAGTTTTTTTATGGATTTATTTCAAAAATTAAATTCATGATCCTTGGACATTACTCTTACAAAAGGACCTTACTGTTGAAATTCACTAACTATTTTGTTAATCCATCAAATTTTTAGAGTAGGTATTTCCTAGGTTTCTATAATGTTATTTATAACTTATCATTGGGGGCTGGGATTAATTTTTCTCTATAGCCATTGTGCCATTGGAAATCCTAAGAAAGCTAACCAAACTATAGGTTACTGGGGTAACTCCATGAGTAACAACTAGTGTTTAGTTTTTTTCCCTTTGCTTTGGATTTTATATGCATACATGTTGTTAATCAATCTAGAATATAAAGTATGGAGTATTAAATTACTTCACTTCTCTAACTGACTTGAGGATATTCTCACAAGTCACAATCTAATATGGTGCTTCTGTCCTTCAATTGAAATAAAACTGCATAATGTGAACTCTGCTGAATGAGGACACGGCGATCTTGAGTCTATGTCTGAAAGAGATGTTTTCCAGCTTCTCAGATTAGAGAGAAGCATTCTGAGGCTTTCTGAGGTGATTCCTTGATAGAAAAGAGTCAAAAGACAAGACGAACCCTCTTTAGAATACTGGTGTGCCAAATGACTAAATGACATTTTCTGTTTCTTACGGAGTAATTTTTTTTCGTCAGAGCCAATCTATTGTAGAAGGGATTTTGGGTTTCAGGGCTTGCAAAGTTTTACCTTCAATTACTCCCTGCCTAATTTCAAACTGAATGACTCGGGAATGATATGCATAAGAGGAACTTTACCTGCTAGATGTGCATTTTCAAGGTGTCCTTAGTGCTAATACTTCATACTCTAAATAATTAGATAGAGTAATCTTGAAACTTCCTGTCAGGAGTTACTCAAAGACATGATTAGTTTACTAAAGAAGTTATTCATTTCAAATAATTTAGGCATTGAATGATCCTACATTGCTGTTTTATACATATATTATGAACAAAATTTCCACTTTAGTCCCCCCCCCAAAATAAATAAATAAATAAATTAATATGTCCTTCCCGATTTTCGTCCGACAACTTATCTCTTTATCCGGCCAATTTTCGATACCATCTTGGTTTACTATCACAGGGAAAGTGGCCATAAAGGACTAAGGGGCTGTTTGTTTCAGCCTCTTAATGGTTCAGATATCTAAATGGTTCAGCACTTAATGGTTCAGACTGTTTGTTTCAGCCTCTTAATGGTTCAGATGTCTGAATGGTTAAGAGATTTGCCTCTGAATGGTTAAGTATTATACAGAGTCTGAATGGTTAAGACCTCTTATCTGAATTGATCAGACATTTGCCTCTAAATAGTTAAGCAATATACTAACTCTTAATGGTTCAGACCTCTTACTGGTTCAGCACTTACCTATTCAGAAGTTGCCAAACAACCCCTAAAAGTGATAAGAAATTGCCTATTAGTATTATTCATAGGAGCAATTCCAGGCAAATGTTGAAACTTTCACACTATTAATGGCCTTTCAACTTTAAGAAATTGTTGTTTTGGAGTTGGTTTATACTCCCTTAATTTCAAGGACACTTATGACTTGTGTAATCTTCATATTTGATCAGGATGACGATCCCATGCTAACAGTACGCATTTGGGAGGCACTTGTGAAATCATTTGCATCCCAGATGAAATCCACTTTCACTGCATCCAGTTTCGTGAAAGAGACATTTACAACTGGGTATCCGAAGCTCATGTCTATGATAGAGAACCTACTTGAAAGGATTTCACGCGACACAGATGTGAAAGGAGTTCCCCCAGCTCTCACATCTGAAGCAAAAGATCAAATGATTTCTGCCATCGAGCCATTTCAGACAGCCTTTTTGGCACTTTGCCTGAGTCGCCTCTCCGATCTGGTTAATTCTGTGTTTCCCATGTCTAGTCGCGGAAGCATTCCCTCAAAGGAACATATCTCCAGGATCATATCAAGAATTCAAGAGGAGATTGAATCAGTACAGCTGGATGCTCGATTGACTCTTCTCGTCTTGCGCGAGATTAACAAAGCTTTGCTTCTGCTTTCTGAAAGAGCAGAGTATCAGGTGAGTATACTCTTTATTTATGTCATCCCAGACAAACTGTGTGTTATTACAGTATTGTTTTATGACTTAGATATGCGCTTTGTTCATTCAAAGCTGGAATAATTTAATTTCCTTTAATTTATTTTTTAAATAAATAACTCGAAAAAGTCAGACCAAAGTTGTTTAATTTCTATTGTTGGTTGATGGTGAGGGGCTTGAAAGAAATTGCGTAAACTGCTGGGATATATTACAAAAGAAAACATTTTTACAGTGATCTTTAACAATAAACTATATATTTGAATGGAAGAAAAGCATATTGAATTGAAGACTTTAATTTTTAATATTGTTAACCCAGGCAAGCAGTGTGCTTTTTTTTTATATTATAAATGTAAGTAACATTTCCTGGGCACAGATATCTGCAGGACCTGAAGCACGACAAGTAACAGGTCCAGCCACCCCAGCCCAGCTCAAGAACTTTGCACTGTGTCAGCACCTCCAAGAAGTTCACGCCAGGGTCTCCTCCCTTGTGGCCGGACTCCCAACCATTGCATCGGATGTCCTCTCTCCCGCTTTGGGCACGATCTATGGGGTTGCAGGCGATTCAGTCACATCCTTATTCCAAGCAATGCTGGACCGCCTTGAAGCCTCCATCCTAAAAATCCACGACCAGAGTTTTGGGACATCCGGCATGGACAACAACAACAACCATGCGTCCCCTTACATGGAGGAGTTGCAGAAGAGCATCGTCCATTTCCGGTCCGAGTTCTTGTCTAGGCTCCTTCCACCTTCTTCTTCTTCAACCCCCTCCTCCTCCTCCTCCACAGAAACAATCTGCACTAGGCTCGTGAGGGGAGTGGCATCCAGAGTTCTGACCTTCTTCATCAGGCATGCCTCCCTAGTCAGACCTCTATCCGAGTCCGGCAAGTTGAGGATGGCCCGAGACATGGCCGAGCTGGAACTAGCTGTCGGTCAAAACCTGTTCCCCGTCGAACAACTCGGCGGGCCCTACCGGTCGCTCCGGGCATTCCGCCCCGTCATCTTCCTCGAGACGTCCCAACTGGAAACGTCGCCCCTTCTTCAAGACCTTCCGGTGAGCGTCGTCCTCCACCACCTCTTCTCGCGGGGCCCGGACAAGCTGCAGTCGCCCATGCAGAGGAACAGGCTGTCCCCTCTGCAGTACTCGCTCTGGATGGACTCACAGGGGGAGGACCAAATATGGAGAGGGGTAAAGGCGGCATTGGATGATTATGCCGCAAAGGTGGGAGTCAGGGGGGACAAGGAGTTCTGTCCCGTGTATCCTTTGATGTTGAAACTCGGATCCTCCATCTCCGGAAATCAATCTTGAACCTCTAAAATTGAATGATAGACGAGATCAATTCTTTTCTGCTGTAGATTTGATTTTCTTGAACTTGTTTGATCTTCCTGTTTGGAGAGGAATTTTCACTAGTCTCAGAGTGTATTGAGAATTCTTTTGGCATTCTCGGCTTATCAATCCAAGTTGTGCAGGGCAAAATTTCAGTGTATGATGTAACTCATCTAAGTATGTAACCGGGTTATAAGGGTGGAGGCCTGGAGGGTATACTTTTCTTATTGATGCATCATCTCTCTCGTTGATAAGCGCTATATCAGATTCCACTAGTTTCATACTTTTCATACTATAAATGGCGGTGTACACACGCCAATTCACCAACTTACTATAATTATTTTTTAATAATTAACTTAAACTAATAATACTCTAATTAATTTTTTTTAAATGAATTAATTTTATAGTCTAGAAACAATGCAAAATTATTTAAAATATAGAAACCAATATGAAATTATTAAAAATAAGATGACACTCATTAAATTAAATTGATACTACAATACAAATAGGAAATATCATAAAACATTACAATGATGTTATACAATTATATATTTTAATCTTAGAATCCATTATTTTTATTATTTTAATTTTAGAGTCATAATTATTATGATTATAAAGATTAAAGAGGCTCGAGAGAGGGATGTGACATAATAATCAATTTTGGAGAGAGTCATAATTATTTTAATTTTGCTACACCCATACGTTTATCGGTTTTGGAAAGAATATTTTTTATTCGAATTAGTATTGTGGAATTTTTTTTACTATAAAAATGTACTTAGAAAATGTTAAAATTAAATGCTATCATTAGACAAATTATTTAAAAAGATAAATGTAAGATATTGATAAACCAGTACTGAACGGAGCAATTGATAAGGTGTTCGATCCCTGTAGAATAGATTAAATTATATTTAACAAGCTAAGCATCACAACAGGACTCCGTGGCCCAATGGATAAGGCGCTGGTCTACGAAACCAGAGATTCTGGGTTCGATCCCCAGCGGAGTCGTCTACTTTCGCTTCTGCTACATTTTATTACTCCGTATTTTAATATAGTAATACCTAGTAATTCTTTTTACAAATACCACATGCAAAGCACAAGACTCCGTGGCCCAATGGATAAGGCGCTGGTCTACGAAACCAGAGATTCTGGGTTTGATCCCCAGCGGGGTTGGTTAAATTAATTTTTTTTGGAATTAATTTTTACACGTGAGCTGTAACCATTTGTTATGCGTATTGGCCGGATGGAGTCCGGAATAGAGGTGGCAATCGGATCAACTGGATCGGTTCCGGATTGAACTTTTTCGGTTCGGATATCTTTTGGTTATATGTTATAATCGGTTTGGTTTGGATCGGTTAAATTTCGGTTCGGATTTGATTTCGGTTCTATACATTTTTCGGTTCGGTTCGGTTCGGTTTCGAGTCAGTTCAGATACGGTTCGGTTTCGAGTCAGTTCAGATACGGTTCGGTTATGAATTGGTTCGGATAGATTTTGATTCAGATACAATTTGAGTCGGATATATTTCGGTTTCGGGTCTAGTCCGGTTCGGATATATTTCGGTTTCGGATATATTCGATCGAGTTGACTACAAATTATGAAAAAATATATTTTATGATGATATAAATTTAATATCATAATATTAATTTTAAAATTTAGTTTTGATATATTAAAATTTTATCACTTCAAATAATATTATGAGTAATTTACCTAAATAGGGCTAAAACACAATGAATTTCCCAATATAGGACCATATGTTTTTATTTCCAATGTAGAACTTTTGGTCATTATTAATTAGTCATTATTCAAGTAAATGTCAATTATTAATTTATTACTGGACATTATTACCCCCACTAAGACATTATTAAGTTCTCTCTAAGGAATAAAAAAGTTTAAGTCCTATATTAAGAAAGTAATTATGTTTTAGTATTATTTAGTACAAATTTATTAATATCATTAGTTTTATCTTTATAAATAAAAAGATAAAAGATAAATTCAAATCGTATTAGGATTGTGTTACCGCTTTTTGGGGAAGATGAGTCGAAGCAACTAGTTTTTATCACGTGCTTTGCACTGACTCGCATACTTTTTTTTATAAGTATAACTATATAAAAATGGTACTCCGTATTATATTAAAAAATAAAACTCACATTTAATAAATAAGAGAATAACTCTTTAAGTAATCCAATTACAATGTCTATTATTGATGGAATACATAAATATTATACATGTATGTGGATATGAAAGATAATACATTAACTCTTCTTAAATAACTTTGTTAGACATTTCATTTTTTGTAGATATCGTAGTATGCGAGGGTATGATGTATTTATTAATTTCTTCTATGAATCTTATTATTCTACACTTTATTTGACTAATTATATTTATAATTTTGATAGAAAATATATTTTTAGTTTTTAAGGAAAAGTTTTACTTTTTTATTTTATTTTACCATCTTTGATAATTAAAATTTATTTGTATTTATTATAATTTTTTAATTATAAAATTACATGTATTATAAGTTTTTTTTAGAAATTTGGATATGATAACTTATTGTAGCGAGACTAAAACATGTAATCCATTTTATGAGGGAATGAGCAAGTAATATAATTAGTTCAAATGGTAAAATAAAAGTAAAATTTTAAAAGCATAATACGCTTATTGAAAGGAAAACATACTTCCAAAATTATCTATGTAGGTTCTAATCGGTTTCGGATCTAATCGGTTTCGGGTTTTATCGATTTCGGGTATTATCGGTTTCGGATCTAATCGGTTTCGGGTTTAATCGGTTCGGATATTATCGGTTTCGGATCTAATCAGTTTTGGATTTAAATCGGATATGAATTATTTAGTTCGGTTTCAGTTCGATTCGGATCATTTCGGGTTTTCGGTTATAGATCGGATCTTCATTTTTCGGGTCATTTCGGTTTTGGTTTTGGATATTTCGGTTCGGGTAATCGGTTCCGGTTCTGTTTTGGAGCTCTAGCGAAGCTCTCTGTAATTTCGCAGATCTTCTCCTTCCTTTTCCTTTCACGGAGTAGTTTTCTTCTCTCAGTAGAATTTCTTCCTCTCCCGATCTCTCTCGTACTTTCTTCCCCATTGCTTCTTCATATTTGTTCGATTCCAGCAGATACAAATCATCGTTTTCTCGCGATTCTGATCTCTTTCTTGCAGGTGCTATAAACGATGTCGTACGCATACCTCTTCAAGTACATCATCATCGGCGACACCGGTAGCTTCCTCCGTCGATTTACTTTTTCCTTTTTTTTAGCTTCATGTTTTCTGCATGCGCTCGATTTTTCTCAATTTTGACTTCTAGGTTGGCATTTTTTCTCTCTGGCTATGGGTGATTTTTGTTCATAGGTTTGGTAGTTGGTTTAGGGTTTGTAATTCTAGATCTCACAAAAATATGGATCGGTATGATATATACTGCAGAAGGAACTAACATATTTCACTGCTGAGCCTTATATGATAGGGAGTTTATAATTAATGAGATGAGTACTGTGATCAACAGGAGTTGGGAAGTCGTGCTTGCTTTTGCAATTCACCGACAAGCGTTTTCAACCCGTGCATGATTTGACCATTGGTGTTGAGTTTGGTGCTCGAATGATCACAATTGACAGCAAGCCAATTAAACTACAGATTTGGGACACAGTTAGTTTTCTCCCTTATTTTTTTTTGAATAAGTAAATGTGACGTATGTAGAAAATGTTTGAATCATGCCACTGGCTGCGTGCGCATACTATTACCGTTTCTTAAGTACACGTCCCTCCTTGTTGTTTCAGGCTGGTCAAGAATCATTTAGATCTATTACAAGGTCTTATTATCGAGGTGCTGCTGGAGCACTACTTGTTTATGACATTACAAGGTATTGATATTGTCAGGGTGTCTGAATGTTCTGATATTGACTGCCCATTTTAAACATTCAAGGCATTTAGCAATGGGTTTGCAATAATTTTTTGTGGGACTGTGCTACTGTGTATCTCTAGAAAATGTAGATGTACATTTGTTCCTAACCTGGTTTCTTTTTTCTCAAATCTGATGGCAGTTTTGTGACATTCTCTATATCTAAGATTCTAAGTAAAGTACATTCTGCCAGTGAGATTTTTTATATCTCAAATGAAGTGCAGTCTGGTACTATCTTCTTTCACATTTCATGTCCCGTTGAATATAAAGGGTGATGATCTGTAGGTAGCATATCCATGCACAAATATGCAATGGTACTTTATTGCGTCAACAAAACTTATTAAACAATGTAGAACTTCTAATTTCACATCCTTCAGTAATGAGCTCTTGGTATAGTAGTGATTTAGTGTTTACAATTTTAGTACAACTTCCTGGGTTGCTCTACTATTAATGAGTGGTAATTTTGTTTCACTTTTTATATTATGTTGAATCATTTTAGGAGGGAAACTTTTAATCACCTTGCTAGTTGGTTGGAAGATGCAAGACAGCATGCAAATGCAAATATGACAATAATGCTGATAGGGAACAAGTGTGATCTTGCTCATAGAAGAGCTGTGAGCACGGAGGAAGGGTTGCAGTTTGCCAAAGAGAATGGTTTAATATTTATGGAGGCCTCTGCCAAAACAGCACAGAATGTGGAGGAGGTGATATTCAACTCAGCCACTGATGCATTTTGACTGGTTTATAAAGTTCTTTTGCATGTTTCTTAAAAAAAGTAAGTTTGATGATTATGTCTTTTGGCCTCATGTAGGCATTTATCAACACCGCATCAACAATATATAAGAAAATACAAGATGGAGTCTTTGATGTATCAAATGAGGTAATCATGCTTTTAATACTCCCTAATTGATATGTGCATGCCAAACTTATTACTCTCTCCGTTTCAAAAAAGGATGCCACCAAAATGCAGAGCGAATGTAGAGCGAATGTTCCCAAAAGGGGGGGGGGGGTGGTGTCAAGTATGCAAGACTTAATCCTACCACCAAAATGCAGAGCGAATGTTCCCAAAAGCCGAAAGGTCCCACCACAGGGCTTACAAGGATGAAAGGAACAGATTAGAGGATTAGAATATTTCAACAAAAAATTAAAGGTAAAACAAATACATGAGCAAGAGAGCAATGTAATGTATCTACAAATGGCTACTGTCTAGAACTTGAGCCAGTCTGTAGAGCAAAAGAAAGAGATGCCTGGTACAAACTACCCTACAGAGCTTGAGTTTCATGACTACTATGTCAAGCCGCCAATTTTGATTCTAAAATTTAGTTTAACCACATTTATCTTTAGAAGCAGGGGTTCAAGCCTCTTCCATTTACAAAAAGTTAATTAGCTCGTATCATAGAACTAAGTGAATTGCCGCACTAGGGGACCTTAGATAAGAATGTGTCTTACTATTACACCATTGTGGGTTGACAGCTTGACCATATTTAATTTCATGAATCTGATGATGTCTCCACTAATCCTAGCCACTTTATAATCTACAGTTCTCTTTTGTTAGGCCTTGTTTTGAAAATTTCATTTGTAGGAGAAGAGCAGAGATTGTGAAATGATCAAGGATTCTTTGATCCACAATTTGTCAAAGTAAGCCTGAAGGGTTTTCAATGTAGCCCATGTGGGGGCAAAGCCCGCTATACTTATTGGATTAAACGTGGATTTTATCCACCTTTCAAGTACTCCTTAAGTCTTAAGAAGGTGGGTGTACCATTAAGTAGAGCAAACATGTGATCCAGCCAAGAAAGTCCATTTGGGGGGGGGGCATGTTTCCGATGTATCCACCCTTTTTTTCTTTTGGTGAGAGAGTTGGAGGGTGCGCAAACTCTGGTGTGTTTTGTTAATCCTCATACAGTATACACCCGCCCTTGCTAAATTGGTGACTGAGAATATGTGATCCACCCTGACTCACTCCCTGATAAATTATGGCTTTGGGTATGTTAATAATATTTGGACTGAATTTGGACGCACTGGAGCTCGGATGCCCCACCTCCTATTTATTTCAATGGAATACATGTTAAAGTTGTTACATTGCTCTCAACTTTCTTCCTTCCCAATTTTCCTTCCATAAGGAAAAATGAGGTGGGCGTGAGGTAGCACAAGTGCACAACTCTCACCTCTTTCGCCGACCACTTTTTTGAGAATTCCAGCCTAGTCCTTGAACATCTTTCCTAAATATCCATCCTTTATTTTGCCAGTCTTAGCATTCTGATTCGCAAGTGTCGGCGATCGGTAACCATTGGAATACAAGTATTTAACCTAGATGCATCTTATGCTTGTCATCGTAATGAGGCTTTTTACATAAAACTATTCATTTTGTTGAAAATTTTACTGTTTCATTTCAAGTTAGAATAAAAAGAAAATATTCGAGCTGACTAGCTCTAGGGTCGAGTGTTTGTTTATTTGTTTTTTTTTAATACAGACCAATGGGATAAAGGTTGGTTATGGTGGCGTCCAAGGGTCATCGGGAGGAAGAGATGGAGCTCTTACTCAAGGAGGGGGTTGCTGTAGCTGAACATGAAATCTGATTTCTTCCCGAGTATTGTTTGTTTGTGGCTTCTTCCTTTGTTTCTCAATTACTAGTATTTTAATTTTTAAAAAAAACTTGCCTGTGTAAGTGGTGTAAAATATATAACACAACAACAATCAGCGATAAGTATTTATTGATTTATTGGTGTGAATTACTGAAAAATAGAGTTTAGTGGATCTGTTGTGATTTTGAAATGTTATTTTTTGGTTTTTAGAATCCTGTCCATTAATGAAGGCCATCTTCCGTTATGTCAGCTCAGGCACATGAATTTGGCAACATGCTGGTAAGATGGTTGGCATGTATATTTCCTTTGTCCCAAGTTTTTGCTAGCCATAAGTGCATTTCTAAAATTTATTGGGCTGAATGATTATTTTGTTAGTTGACACCCCCACCCACAACCCAATCCCACGCATGCCGGAGGATATGACTTCCACCAAAACCCATTGTCCCAGTTTTGATTTGTGTAGTAACTCTTTTTAACTTTTGATCTATAATTAAATAAAATATATATTATATTTTAACTAAATAAAATAATATTTTAAAAATATTTAATATAGTATACAAAGTATCTAATAAAATTATTTTTTGTATCAATATTTAATATCATTTTTATTTATTTTGAGGTCAAAGTTTATTAATTTTGATCGCAGATAGTCAAAAATGGACAAATATTCAGGAATAGAAGAAGTACTACTCTTTCGGGTCATTTTGGTATGCTAAGTTTACACTAAGTTCGACACCATCTTCTTACAGATATAATCCCTCTGTCTTAATTTATATTGTCTGTTTCGATTTACGATGTTTAACCGAAAATATTTTCAAATCATTTTATATGAAAAATGGTCTAGAATTAAAAAAATAAAAATTATATGTTAAAATACTACTACCTCCGTCCCATTTTATAACGCCTGTTTCGGTTTACGATGTTTGACTGAAATTATTTTCAAACCATTTTATATAACAAATGGCATAGAATTAAAAAATAAAAATTACATATTAAAAAACTATATCAAAAGATCTACAAAACTAGTAGTAACAAGAATATTTTATTTTATCAAATTGCTAACGAAAATAGAGAAAGAAAGTGAATGAAGTTTGACCCTGTGAATAGTAAACAGGCATTATAATTTGGGACGGAGGGAGTAATTCAAAAGATCTACAAAAATAGTGGTGAAAGGATTATATTATTTTATCAAATGACTAACGAAAATAGAGAAAGAGAGTGAATAAAGTTTGACCATTGAGTTGTAAACCGATAATTTAATTTGAGACAGAGAAAGACTTTGTTTGAGACCATCGTTTTCGATTAGCATTAGCATTTTGGATAAAATTTTAATCGTGTCGATTAATTTTTAAAATGCTAACGCTAAAGACTACCATTATATAGCTTTTTCATAACACTAATGCTAATCTCTAACGATGATGCAAAATGAGATTGAAGATGATGTCGAATATGGGGTACTCGAAGCATAACTCTTTTGGTTATGATTACCCTCTCGGTTTTATAATGAAGTTCTCTATTTTTTTTGTTCTTTGAAACGAAGGAATGGTAAAATTCATACTCTATTTTTTTAAATACTAATATTGATCTTACAATGGTTAGAGACTATTAGGGGTGGGCAAACGGGTTATGGAACCGGGAGTCGGAATCGAACTGACAGGTTTGGTCCGGGTTAGGGGTGAGTCTTTTTTTCAAAAATTTTTCCGTCCCTAAATATTTGTCATACTTCTATTATCGAGGTAAAACATCAAGTTTTTTCGATTTATTCTATTTATATATTGTTATAGAAAAAATAAAATTTACATATAAAAATGTACATGAAAAGATTTTTTAAAATAAGAGGTGTCAAGAATATTTTATTTTATCAAGTAACTATAAAAATAAACAAAAAATTCTTACAATTGCTGGAAAAGTAGATGTGAGATATATTTTGGGAGGGAGAGAGTAAAGGATAATGCTACTTGCACCCCAAAATTACCCCAATTTGTACCCCAATTTAAAATACCTCACCCTAACCGTGCAAGTACCCCCCACACCTGCAAGTAATCCCCCCATTTCCCCCACCTAATTCCTCAGCCCTCCTCGCCTGTCTCTCACGTTTCCTTCCATCTTCCGTTCATCTCGTTCATCGTCGACCACCGCCGGTCGCCGGTGGTTTAGCTTCTGCCCTCCTCGCCTTTGCCCTCCTTGTCTCTGCCCTCATCGCCTCTGCCCTCATCGCCTCTGCCCTCCTCGTCTCTGCCCTCCTCGTGGTTCATCGCCGATTGTGTCCTCGTCTGGCCTCCTCGTCTTCGCCATTACAACTTAGAAGGCATATCTACCCTCGTCTCTGGTACCGCCGGTGGTCTGCCTTGTAGGTAATTGCTTCTTCTTTTTCAATTGCACCTTTTTTCACACACATTATTTACATTAGTGAAACCCTAAATGCAAAGCTATGATATTTCTTCTTATTTGTTGCGAAATTCAGATATGCCTGGGCAAATGTTGATTCTTGTTTTAATTTAAAAATTTCTTGTAGTACTTTTTGTATGTGCCTGTGCAAAACTTACGAAATAGATTTGCACGGTCAATGCCTGCTAGGTTAAAGAACTGGTTCTTATGTGTTCTGTGAATGTATTTATTTGTGTAGGTCTTCATGACTATCCATGCTAGAAACCGACATTGTGTTTTAGCAGAGCTTGATTTCCCTAATGCGACTATTTGGGTATATGATTCGTTGAAAGGTGCACAGAGCAAATCCTATGTGCGTCCAATCCTTGAAAGACTACCTCCCCTTTTTTGAACTGTCAAAACTACCGAGCAACAGAGACGTACTCAGGCATGGGCAGTGGAGCTCCCCAAGGATGTGCCCCAGCAGTCTGATGGAAATGCAAGTGGCGTTATGATACTGGCATTTGCGGAGTACCTATTGGCTGGTTTGGCACTACTTCCTGACTGCACGTACGAACATGTGGACGACTTTCGTAGGCAATATGCATCACGCATATATCGAAAGACAGTGGCCTAAAGCTTGTGGAATATATATATATATATATATATATATATATATATATATATATATATATATATATATATATATATATATATATATATATATTATTAACGCACAACTATGACGGCTTATCTCACCTTGCTAATATATGAAAGTCATTTTTTAGCCTTGTATAGATTACTCTATGTATCAATATGTATTCACGCATGATCAAACATATAATTTTTTGTTTCCGGCACATGTATGACTGCTGAAGTTTTAAGTTTATTATCTCATTTAGTATTGTTGTATTGAACAAAATCCTTATCCTAAAGATATTCAATGTTGGTGGTGTTTTTTATGAAAGTAATAACACAGGCAGTTAGTGTTAGTGTATTGAAGCAAAACAATTGCACACAGACAGTTGGTGTTGGTGTAATGAAGAGAAACAATAGCACATGGACAGTAAGTCTCTTTGTGTTGAGTAGAAAAAGTAGCACACTGACAGTAAGTGTAGGTGTATTCAACAGAATAAAAAACCTCCTTATGTGACTTGTTTTACAATAATTATACAAGTAGTACTGTATTTTGTTATGTTGGTATTGTACTCCATTGAAACAAATGTTAGTATGAATTGAAATAAATATTATATTAAAGGATGAGTAGGACACAGACTACTAGTGTTGGTGTATTGAAGAGAAACAATAGCACACGGACAGTAAGTGTAGGTGTATTGAACATAATACAAAAACCCTCTTATATGACTATTTTTTCTTAAACAAATAAGATTTTGTTATTTTAGGATTAGATTTGAACTCATATTAAAAAAAATATTAGTATGAATTAAATATTCTATTAAAGGATGAGTATGACAGAGACATTTAGTGTTGGTGTATTGAACCAAAAACAATAGCACACAGACAGTAAGTGTTAGTGGTTTATTTAACTCAAGCAGTGCAGTACCACACATTAAGCATAGGATAACCAACTACCAGCCTGACAGTAAGTGTTGGTGTTTTGATAAAAAAAAGTACATCAACATGTTAAACTGTTACATAGCAAAACTAGTAATTACATAGTGTTCAACTTACCCACAAAATATGTTTATTTACATCATCTGTAAGTAGTGAATACAAAATATTACATAGTGATACTTACCAAAAAATGTGTGAGCAAATGCATTGCAAAATATTAACAAAAAAAGATGGGCCATCTACAGATTCATAGCCTGAGATCAAGATTTGGGCAAGTTAGGTCATAGACACCATCTTCTCCCGGCCAATCCCACGTAGGTATATTTTCACAACCTATGCTACCAACGCTTGTAAAAAGGGTTGTGGATGGCTGTTCTGGGTTTCCCTGCTTGCTCTTGTTCACCTTACGTTGTTCACTACTTTTTTTCCTACCGTGATCATCTCGAATCTTCTTGTCTTGCTTTCTTTTCATGTTTTTTTTGTCTCGGAAACAGATTTTAGCCTATTTTTCTGGGGGGGGGGGGGGGGG